CGCCGTGTCCGCCTTCCTGTCGGGGTTCTACGAGCTGATCCCGCGCAGCTGGGTGTCCATGTTCAGCGGGGAGGAGCTGCAGAGCCTCATCAGCGGGGTGGCGGCGCAGGGGCTGGACCTGGAGGACATGAGGGAGCATGTGGTGTATGGCGGGGGATACCACGAGGGTGAGGAGGGGGGAGGGGGGAGGGGGCTGCTTCGGGTCCCACCCTTCCTCATCTGGGGCCGCTACTGCTACCGCTACTGCGAGGAGTAGAGAGCCGGGATGTCTGCATGTCATTGTGTGCGTCCGTCTGTCTGTCTGTCTATCTGCCTTGTGAAACATTTCAGTCATTAGTGCATTCGGTGTCTCGGCGCCTCTCTCCCCTCCCGCCCCGTGCAAACCCTAACTCTACCTTTCGTCCTCCTTCCTTCGCATCGCATCCATCCCGACCTCCCCTCCCCTCCCCCTCCCACCACCCCCCACCCAACCCCCTCAGAGCACCCGGTGGTCATCCTGCTGTGGGAGGTCCTGGACTCCTTCACCGCGGAGGAGCAGGGCCGGTTCCTCAAGTTCGTGACGTCGTGCAGCCGGGCGCCACTGCTGGGCTTCAAGTAAGGAGGGGGGGAGGGAGGGAGGGGGAGAGCCACGTGCTGCGGCTGGTGGGGGGGGGCGGTGGCGGAGGTAGCTGTAACGGTGGCGATATTGGTTAGTTGGTCCGGCATAGCAGTCGTCTGTGTGCAAGAAGTGCCACACACAGCGGATGTGGAGGAGTCGCTTCGTCAGTGGTCAGTGGCGGGGGCGGTCCACCCGAACATCGCTGCACTCGCAATTGGTAAAACTGTACCGAACGGCACCGACACAGACATACGTACAGACAGACAGCGATCCAGAGAGCTGCATACGTCCACCTTTCTTACTCACCTCTGGCCGCTCAATCCCCCCTTGCCGGGCCGCCCTGCCCCCTTCCGCCCCCCTCCGTCCTTCCTCCCTAAGGTATTTGGAGCCCAAGCTGGGCATAAATATGAGCGGTAACACGTTGGACCCCTCGGCCCAGCAGCGCCTGCCCACCGCCTCCACCTGCATCAACCTGCTTAAGCTGCCCCCCTACCGGACCAGGGAGGCCATGAGGGACAAACTGCTGTACGCCATCAATTCGGGAGCGGGATTCGACCTCAGCTGATGAGATGGGACGAGCTGAGATGAAGAGAAAGCCACAGGGCTCACGCCGAGGAAAGGGGAGGGGATGGGCGTGCGGAGTGATATGATGAGCGATATGATGTGGGGATGAGAAATGGGAGGTGCCCTGTGTGTGCATGTCCTTGTGTTGGCGGATATGTGTGTGTACGTATGTATGTACGGTGTATGTGAGGAGGGGGCCAGAGAGGGGGCTCATGGGGGGGTTACACTGTCGCATCGGCGGGGACCCGGAAGGGGTCCGCGTGTGTAGAAATGGTGGGGTGAAATGGGGTATCTGCCCCTGGTGGCCAAGCTGTGGAGCGGGGTGGGGATGTTGTCCGCCGGGCACGCAGCGGGGAGCTCGGAATGGGTAGGGGTGGGGGGGGGGGTTGGAGTGGGGTGGACGGAGCTGCAGCAGGGGTAATCGCGGCTGCCACAGAGAAGGACCAAGTCGCTGCACTGCGGTGTGCAGCATGCGTGTGTGTATGTATGTCGGGCAGTCTGTCATCGCAACATCTCAAACCGAGGACACGGGCGGCTCAGGGGGTCGCTCGGGGCTTTCCGGGGTGGGGGTATCCGGGAAGGGGTTTCAGGTGAAGTTGGCGTTTCCCTCACCTACCCCCTCACTACGGTGGCGGTGGCAGCAAACTCGGATATGCTACCGCCCGTGTCACGGGGGGGGAAGCAGACTGACAGCAAGCAATCCTGTAAGCATCAAATGGAATTTAAATTTCCATCGGCTTGGTTTTCACCGCCAATAGTTGCAGCAGCCCAATCAGAGCGCCAGGGCTCCCTGTATGTTATGTATGTATGTATGTATGTGTGCATAGGTGCTTTACAGATCGTGGGTGCACGTTATTGGGTAGTGATGAATTACGGGCCTCTTTTGGTGGCCGAGTGAAATGGACATGTGTGTGTGTGTGTGAGAGTGAATGAGAGTGAGACCGAGTGAGAGAACAGCTAAAGATCTACACAAACGGCAATACAGTTCAAGGCGGCTCTTGCTCCAGAAGCTCCCGAAGCTAGCTCGGTTTGCAGGCAGAGGGGCTGAAGGGCAGTGAAGGCGAGTAGGGGCTGCTGTAGAGCGGTAAGATGAACCGGCGGAGGAGGCGGACGCAATAAAGTTTTTGTACACAATCGACAGCGGTCGTGGGAGACATCAGTGTGTGTGTCTGTGTGTGTGGGAATGTGGAGTGATGCGGTTACCTAATTTCGCATATTCGCGGTTCTTCGCAGGCTAGTTTCCTTGCCTTACAATAAAAATTGCCGCCACATGTAATCTTCGATCTTTCCGACTCCTTGAATCCAGCCATCCAGCCATCTATCCGACTTGTTGACGGCCGGAGCTGGAACTGGAAGCGGATGGCTGCACCTGTCAAAAGGCCGCTGTCCAATGAGAGGGGGGAGGGGAGGGACTGCTCGCTGCCCGTCAACCGCCGGGTCCAGTCCCCGCCGGATGACATGATCCTATATGATGGGGCACCGCGCATTGGAAGTAAAATCTTCCAGTCTTCCAGTAACAAATTTACGTCACCGAGTTGTTTGTATTTGAAACATACATTTGTGCATCCAGGCGGCCCGGGTGCTGGTGCTGGTGCTCCCAGGAGACAGCGATATATGGGCGGGGCACCGGTCGCGGGGACCAGCGGACCCCGGGCAAGTTGAAATCCGTCAGCAGTCCGCGCCGCGAACTAGACTCGTAGCTGGGCTTCCTGCGCTTTCATCAGAGGCGGGCGCAGGGGCTGCTGCACAGTTAAGGGCCCGTTTAGTTTAGAGGAGTCCGTCTGCTAACCGTAGCCTTAACCCCTCGAGAGCGCGGCAGCTGCGTGACCACATCCCGAGTCAAGGGGACCCTAGCGATGCGAGGCGGTGTTTGGAGCTGCTTGGAGATGGTCGGCCAAGCAGCGGGCGGACCAGTCGCGGGGTTACTGTGCCGCACTGCGCTGTGTGCGCTGGCGACGGCCTTGACAGCTGCGGTGATGGCGGTGACGGTGGCGGGTCAGGCCTCAACCCTGCCTGCTTGTAAGGGGGCCTCCTCATGCACATGACACATGATTGCAGATGCAACTTGTTTTCGGAACTAACCATCGAACTAACTGCCTAACTGGATATGATCAATTATGGGATAGGGCTCCTCGTCCGTCGCCACCTTCGCCACTTCCGTCTGCTGTTGCCTGCTGACCTTCATCATTATTGCGACCTGTCTCAGCCGGCCGGCGGGAAAGGAGGGGAAGGGAAGGGGTCGCTGTCTTGCGCCCGTTTGTGTGCTGCTCGCGTGCCCCCCTCCTCCTCCCCGTCCTCCCTCCTCCTCAGCTGATGGGTCGGCAGACTGCGGCGCAGGGCCCCCAGGGCTAACGTAGCACGGTCCCCCATGTGCCGACCTCGGCTGCTTGCGTCGTTGTACGGAATGCAACGTACGGCTTTTTGTACGGCCTCACAGCCTCCGACCCACAGGAATGCATGAACGTTACCCGCCTGCATTTCCACCTCCTCCATCACCGTGCGTTCGTACATACACGCCTAGGTACCTTCCTGCCTTCCCCCTCCTTCACTGTGACACAGAGCGGCAATCATGACTAAGAGCCGCATGCGCCCCACATGGCCAACCCACCCCGATCTCCCCACCACACCACCATTTCTCCCCCACGCACCCACACACCCCCTGCTCCCTTCAGGCGCCCCCGTGGCCACCCTGGTGCTGTACGCCGGCAGTGGCGGCTACCCGTACCTGAGGGGGGTGTACGATGAGCTGCCCCTGGACAAGAAGGGCCTTCTGCCCCTGGGGCAGGGACAGGTGGCGGCACTGGACTTGGAGGCCCCCCGATGCAGCCTGCTGGGGGTGGGTAGGTGGGAGCAGAGCCCGCATTTGGGGGAATGGGTGGCGGTGGGCTTTTGGGGGGTTAGGCAGCGGACGGGGTGGAGGAAAGGGGAAAAGTCAGTGGAGACGGCGGTTGGGTGGCCGCTCGTACAAGTGCTTTCTTGCCCGAGGAGTACGGGTAAGGGGCCACCGGGCGGGGGCTCACCTCGGGGGTTGCGAAGATGGCGGGGGGACCGGAGTCGGGGGAAGTGGGGGGAACGTTTGGGAGAGGGATCAACCGCCAGGAAGTGATGTCTCTGTCGCAGGCGCCTGCGGTGGTACGGCACTTCACTCTCATATGCAACCCCATCTCCAACCCCTGTAGGGATGGGGAGAGAAGGTCTCTAGCGGCTTGTGCGATGAATGTACGGTGGTACCAATATACGGCAGGTCACATCAACTAAAGCTACGTGACCCACTGGCTCGTAGATGTCATCCTGGCCGAGCAACTTACTCCTGTACGACAACGGCACCCTGTCCCGAGTGCTCCCCAATGCGATGGCCTCCCTGGGGGCTGTGGGGGGCACCCTCATGCTGTACGGCCACCCGGGTTTGGACGCGGCGGGTATGCGCAGCCTGCAAAGCCTCCGCAACGTTAAGGTACGGCGATGCACGGCACAACGCGGCGTGACACGGACCTGCGGCAAGGACCCGCCCCCACCCCTCTCTCCCNCCAGTCAGAGGCCCCCTCGCCGACCCCCGGCGGGTTGGCCGTGTAGCTGCCCTGGCCCCTCCCCCGCACCTCCGCACCCTAACAACCCGCCCTAGGGAGAAGAAATGGATCCCCGCGTGCTTCTTCCCCTCCCCTTCCCTACCTTCCCCTCCCCTCCCCTTCCCTCCCCTCCCCTTCCCTACCTTGCCCTCCCCTCCCCTCCCCTCCCCTTCCCTACCTTGCCCTCCCCTCCCCTTCCCTCCCCTTCTCTCCCCTCGTCCCATCGCGGGGGTTTGTCACTCAGTCTGCCACCAACCTGTTGCTGTACAATCTCGATGCCCTGACTGACCTGCTGGGCCTGGAGGGCTTCACCTCCCTGCCCGGGGACCTCTACCTGGGGGGCAACGGCCGGCTGAGGTGGCTGGGGGGCCTGGAGGGGCTGCGGGAGGTGGGGGGAGATCTGGCGCTGCTCAGCAACATGGCGCTCAGCTCCGTGCAGGGACTCCAGGTGCGCGGTGGTGGGAGGGGGAGGGGGCCCCGGGTGAGGGGTGAGGGACCAGGGAGGACAGGGGGAGCGAGAATGTGTGCCGTAGGTGATATGTCCTACGGGAAGACCTGCGGGTGTCGTTATTGTTTGGTTCGCTAAGAACACAAGTAAATTTGCACTCCTCCTGCTCATGAAGCTCGAGAACGCAGAAGCCAGTTTATTGCCAGCAATTCCACACACACGCGCACACACACACATACACACACACCGGCTGCTGCTACTGCTGCTGTTGCCGGCCCCCCGCCGTTCCGACAGAGCCCCACCTGACCTTATTCGCCCTGCACACCCTTCCGAAGGTGACAGACTGGTGCCAGACTACTACTACTGGATGTCGCGACCACGACTACCATATTGCTTTTCCCGGCTGCATGTCTGCCACCATCCCTGTGTGTATGCTGCGCTCACGCCTCTCCCTTTTCCTCCCCCCGCCGCCCCTTGCCCCTGCCGCTGTCCCCACCGCCCTGCCATCCCCCACAGAACCTGCAGGTGGTGCGGGGCCAGCTGCTTGCCATTGGTAACGGTAAACTAACCAACCTCCTGGCGATGGCGTCACTCACCTCCGTCGGATCACTGAGGGAGACCAACAACGGTGCCGTACAACTGCGACTACCTGAGAATGTCCGAGTGGGGCTAGCAGCCGCTGGAGGCCAGGACGGCGGGGGGGAGGCGACTCTGCTCGCCAATGCCGTTGTGCAAACTACCTCGTCCATCACCACCGCCATCCCTGGCGCCGGCCCTGGGCAATTCCCCCCTCGAGTGGACACATCTGTCGTACTGCTGTACAGTGGCTCAACCCCCGACTTGTGAGTGGCGGGTGGTTGGCGGCGAGCTGCTGTATTTGGTTGACGTCAGCGCGGAGCAAAGCTGAAGTACTATCAAACTGTGTCGTACGATAAGTACATGCGTACGTGTTTAGGGTTGCTCTGGGTTCTACGTAAAATGGTTGCAATGCTGACTGTTTTCTGCGGGTGTCATGTGTGGCTTGTACGGGATTGAGGTGGCCCCGTGCCTCCCCTCCCCAAACACTTGCCCCTACTCCCGCGCACGCGCTACATCGCCCCATCCCTCAACCCTTTCATCGTGCGTATGTATATGTGCGTGTGTTAGAGAGGATGTGAGCGACTGGCTCAAGAAGTTCGATCCCCCCGTGGAGCCGTTTGAGGTCAGGGAGTACAACACCCGCGCCATCAACCTGTACGACACAGCAAGGGAGGCCCAGAAGCTGTCCGTCATCAGGTGTGTGTGTGTGTCTGTATGTCTTCATATGAGCAGTTGTGGTGGGGCGCTGCGAGTGTGAGTGTGACGAGTGTGATGACCGTGATGAGGTTTTTGAGTGTAACGAATGTGAGGGGTGTGATAATCGTAGTTTTATTAATATTAGTCATTATTTTCCACGGTTTTCGTTTGTTGGCGCATCACAGCTTTCCGGGCGAGCCCGGCTTGACCAACCTCCAACTGTCACGCCAACTTGTGCCCCTCCCTTCCCATCTAAAATTTGAACACTGCAGCGCGTACCTAAGAGAGACCCTCTTCCGCTGGGGGAAGGTGTTGCCAACTCCACAACCTGACATGACGAGCCATACCCAATCATAGGGTTGCCGTACACTGCTCTCCCTCTCTGCTTCCTCATATGCTCGTGTGAACGTGTGTGTTTCGTTCCCCCCTATCCCCAGCGGTTCACTCGTGATTTGGGCCAGCAGGGACCTGGGCCAGGGGCTATGGCCACTATCGGGCCTTACGGCGGTGTACGGCCAATTAGTCATCGTAGGACCTCCCGATCGCAGCAGCGCACTGGAGACCCTCCAAGGGCTGGACAATCTGCAGGTGGGTGTGAAGATGTGCTTGTGTGGCGGTGGTGATGGTGTGCGGAGAAAGGGGCTTTGGAGCCTTCTGTTGAGGGAGGAGGGCGCGTGTGTGGGGGAGACGGGGTTGACGGGGGTGGGCGGGGGATCAGGCCCTACAGGCGACGGGGGTGGGCCGGGTGCCGCGTCCTGTACAGCAGGCGAGAGGGAGGTCCTGGATGTCACGGTTGTACCGTGCTGTACGGCACGGTACGGCGACTGGTACAGGCGGGGCGTGTTGTGCGGTATGTCGTATGTGTTGTATGGCCCGCATTCTTCCGCATGGGGTGCGCCCGGCTCCCTCTCCCCTTGCGCACCGCCGCCGCAGCCCACTGCATGGTAATCCGAGCTGCTTAGTTAGCACCGTTCGGCGTTGGTCTCCGCACCTCTCTCTCCATCAGTCCCTTCCTTCCCTGCTATCCACCCACTCCCTGGCAAGCGCCCCCCTTCCCCTCCCCCTTTCGTCCTGGGGATCTCCCCTCCCCCTCCCCTCCCCCTCCCCCTCCCCCTCCCCCTCCCCCTCCCCCTCCCCCTCCCCCTCCCCCTCCCCCTCCCCCTCCCCTCCCTGACAGTACGTGGGGGGCCTGCACTTGCTCTACCTTCAGCAGCTCCGAAACCTCACCGGCCTGGGCGGGCTGGGCAGCTGCCGGGGCGATCTCAACATCCTGCAGTGCCCCTCCCTGCCGTCCACCCGGGGTCTGGCGCCGCTCACCTCCGTGTACACTGACATGTACCTGGTGGGGAACACGGCGCTGTGGGACATAGCAGGTCTCAAGGTGCGATTGCTGGATGTGCATACACGGATGCATGTACGGATGCATGTACGGATTCATGAATCACAGGCATATACGAATATATATAGTACACGAATATGCAACACGCTGGTGACGTTGCCATCGTCGGTGTTGTGGAGGTTGTTGGTGACCGTCGGGTCCTGATGGAAATGGTTTGTGATAGCAACCACCGAAGCTCAACGCGGGTTGGGCTGGGTGGTGGGATGGGGGAAATCCTGGATGGGGAGGGGCCACCAGATCGCGAACGAGCAGAAGGGCGGGGGAGCATGGGGACATGTGTCTGTGTGTGTGTGTGTGTGTATGTGTGTGTGTGTGTGTGTGTATGTGTGTGTGTGTGTGTGTGCGCGCGCTTTGAAACGGTGGCACATCGCCTTACGAGCCAAAATGTTGAGCGAGTCAAATATGCTATTATGCGATAGTGCATAGCTGCATAATGTATGTATGTTGTTACAGGGTGGTATAGCTTCACCAGCGGCCCCCTTTCCCGAGGCAGTTCCCTGCTCTCCCCTGCGAGAGGGGCACCCTAATCCAACTTCACCCCATCTGACTTCAGAATGTATTCGTTGGGTTCAGCAACTCACCACCAGCATCCAACCAAATCTAGCGGATCAACGGCGCCTCAACTTAGTTCGCAAAGTGCTATAATCACGTCCTCCACCGTCCACAAGATGGAGGGCCACCTCCCTCACACATCGAGCGGTCGGCAGCCAGAACCTCCGGGAACAGAAGTGAACTCAGGGATTTTACTGTTCACCTATCATTATTAGTCTCCCGCAACCGATGGCGAACGCACGCGGGGAACCCCCACCGCCTTAGCAGGAGGGCGCCTTAACCACTCGGCCACAGGTGCTTCATTATATGTGATTGAATAAGTTGGTACAATAATAAAATTCACATGCAAATATTGATTATAACTGCACGACTGCGAGTGCGCCCTCGCCCTCGCCCCCACTCAGAGCGCCGCCAAAGGTCGAAGGACGGAGGGCTCTGCTGGCGGGGGTGGGTGGGATGACAGCTTTCCCCCCTCCCGGCGCATGAATGACCGATCCCACCACGCAAACGCCGCGTGTGTTTGACATTGATGTTGGCGGCATTGAGGGGGGCGGGCCCACTGCCGCACTTCATCATCATCGCGGAGATACACTCTCATTCCCACATATTGCATCTCGCCCGCAACCACACCACACCACACTCACCTCCAACCCACCTCACCCGAAACCCCGACCCCCCCCCCGCTGCCGGCCACAGAACATCCGGAGCGTCGGCGGGACTTTGCACCTGCAGGACATGCCGTACGTCAAAGACCTGGAAGGCCTGTCCGGCGTACGGTCGGTGTACGGCCACTTCGTCATCCAGAACTGCAGCCAACTGACCTCCACCTCCGCGCTCAGGCAGCTGTCCAGTGTCGGTGAGAGGGCTCGGGGGGGGGCCGCCGGCTTACCCCCTAGCTGTAAGCTGCCGTACGCGATATCCGGTCCGCGTGTGAGTCCCCTCCGAAACCCTTCATCCTGATTCCTTGGCTTGGTTCACGCGGCTTATGGACACAAGCTAGGTGGTATGATGCCTCTAAAACCCCGCAGACCTCCCCCGACCGCCCCATCCCGCTCACGGCTCCTTCCCCTCCCCTTTCTCCTCCTTCCCTCCCTTACCTNATGTCTCTTTCCCCACCCACCCACCC